CAGAAAAAAAAAAAAAAGGGGGGGGGGGGGGGGGCACTGTCTTGTGGCCTGTTGTAGATCTCGTACAATTCAGAAAACCAGTATAGGATATGCAGATAGATTTACTGTCCTAATGGCTGTATATTCTGTAATGGCAAAGATACATTTACCAGACTGTAGTAAAGACATGTTTTGTTTGATTCGAAGATTGCACAGATTTGGGAAGCTCTGAATCATGTGTTATTTTTGATTTAAATAATCTTTTTGAAGGTTGGATTCCCTAATTGGAGGCTAAAACTGGAAGTAATTGCCTGTTGGTAACTCTTCGTAATGTTCAGAGTTTCTTCTTAAAGCTGACTGATGTCTATAAAATAGAATTAATTGCCTTCCATTTTTATCTCTTGTCTGTCTCCTCCTTACCTGCTGTTTTCACAAAGTTAAATTAGCATGGTTGATGTGAAAGGAAAAAAAGAAGGGACAAATGGAAGACATTCCGTGTTCTAGTGTAGAGACTATATAAGATCTATAACAAAATGCCAAGTTCTAGTCCTTCTCCAGGTATTAGTAACTACGAACTTGAGAATGAAGTTACCCCCAGGGGCAGACAGCACAGCAGCAGTGGAGGAGATGTTGCCAGGCCAGTAGATCCAGAACAGGGCTAATGGTATGTTAGTCACATCGGACTGGTGCATGGCCCAGTGCAGAGCTGCTGTGCCGCTTCTGCGTGAGAGCAGCAGATGGAGCTTGAGGCACCTCTGTAGTGCGGTGCTTTGGGCGCTCGGTGCTGAACAGCGAAGAGTTAGTGCCATGTTCTACAGCCTCCCTGAGCAGCGAGTCCTGGAGCCTCTTTGGCTGCGGTGTTGGGTGCAGTAACAGATCCTCTGAAGATGGGGAAGGGGAAGGAAGAGAGAGGATGGGACAGAGCAGTGGGCATTGAGTAGATGAGCTGTATAAGCAGTGACAGCTACCAATTAGGGAATGATTTTAATTCAAATGGATCTTAATCTTAAAAATTAAACCTGAAAAAATTCCCCCTTCAGGAATTGCTGAGTAAGCAGGAAGTGTCCATCTGGGCACACTGCAGTAAGCAGAGCTGCAAGCTCAGAGCTGCTTTGCATGCTTAAACAAGTAGAACTGCTAAGCAAGCACTCTGTCACTACCACAACCTGCCTTGTATATAATTGTTCTTGCAGCCACCTGGCTCTTTATTGTGATGTCTCTGCCCTGCTAGTTGCATGAGGAAGAAAGCTGGGGTGTTCCTTTACCTGCCAAGAATAAGATCTGTCCTTGCTTGTAAACAATTGTTGGTCTTCCTAGCACCATGCTACTAAATACAGAATGGGCAGTGAGTTTTCTTAGGAAATTGGGAACAGCTTCTAGGGTTTATGTTTTTCAGCGACTTCCTTTGCCCGTGTGAAAGAAGGTAAGGCTGCAGTGTACTCTTCTTGTGCGTTAGGAGTGTGCATACAGATGTAGTCTGGTACACCTAAGACATAACTAGTCCCCATGTCAGTAGTAGTACCTAACCAGGGGAGTTTGGGAACTTCTGTGCATAGGCAGAAACTGGATCTCATGACCAAATCTACACCTTTGTAACTTTAAAAGATCTTGTGACGTGTGGTGCAGTCTGTTAAGTGTTTTATAGAAGACGTTCTTTCAGATTCCTAACTGTTCCTATTTATGTAGTTCTTTGGATCGTTTTGAGGGGCAGAGGGGTTCCTGTGATTTAACTTTGGAGTCATAATGAGGAAATGGTTTGCTAAATTTGCCTTAATTAAGAATAGAAAATTGCTTCTCTTCCATTTTGTTGTTGCAAATGCTTCACCTATGGCTGAATTAAGCCTTTAACCACCAGAATTCCTTAAAACTTAAAATACAATATTTCCTTGTACATTTAATAGCTATGCAGATTAAATGAGATCTTTATATACTTAAATGTAATCTACCTTTTTTTCCCCTCTTGACAGAAACAGTACGGCCAAAAACACCGCCTGTTACAATAAAGCCTCAAATAAAATCTCAAGAGGTAAAGATGCTGTTAGATTTTAGCTGGTATCTAGTATGTGAAACTGTTACTTAAGAGGTAATTATGCATCCTTTTGAGAAAGTTGTGCTATGAAACCATAATAATATAATATCTGACAGTCCTAACCTGCTGCTGTTCTGCTGTGATGCTAATTTTTAGTGCATACACTTTAAACTCATTTTCAGTAGAAGAAAGAGTAGCTTATCTGATGAACATTCTCATTAGTATCCTGCACATTATAATAAAACATGGTTTTACTCTGAAGGGTGACATTTCCAAAATGTTTGGAGCAGAAGGTTTGCACTGTATTTACATACAAGGAATACCTTCATGAAAATATATCTATGTACCACATTCTGTCCAAATCTTCAGCAACTGTCAGGCTTAAGTATAGGAAATCTAAATGATGCATTGCAATAACGACATTATTTTATTGCAATGGCAAGAAGAGTTTTGCTTGATGCTGCAAAAACCTTTAACTTAGACACGTAATGACCCTTGTTCATTTCTGAATTGTAAAATCAGTACCAGAGAACACTCTTGGCAGAAGCAGAGCTATGCATTCACTTGCCAATAATAGGCAGTGGACTAAATCAAGCCAGAAAGATTTCCAAAGAATAGTCCACTCTTAATCTAATTTGAGTGTAGAAAACTGTTACTGAATTGTGGTCAAAATTTAATATTGGTCTTAGATACTGTTCTAAACTACTTATGAGTTTATTATTATTTCTGAAGTTTACAAAAACAGAATTGAAGTTGTTAACACAAAAAGGAGCCTAGAATGAAAAGCAGATAATTTTCAGTACAACTATCTAACATTTTTGTCTGTACAAAAATACTCTGAAAGACAAATAGCCCATAAAGAAAAATAGTTGTCAGAGTAATGCATTTGGTTTAATTTTTTGCTGGCTCTATTTAAAAGGCAGTCAGTCACATGAGTGGAAGTATTGGTGACCTTTTTCTCCCCTTTTTGGATAAGCTTATATAAAACTGTCTTACTGCAGGATGAGGAGGAGATTTCCACAAGTCCAGGTGTATCAGAATTTGTGAGTGATGCTTTTGATGCCTGTAATCTGAATCAGGAAGACCTAAGAAAAGAAATGGAACAACTGGTGCTAGACAAAAAGAAAGAAGAGACTTCAGTAGTAGAAGGTAAAGCTATTATTACCTTCTGTATCTTAAATACAGCAATTCTAAGATAGGTTGATTTAAAAAAAAAAAAATTGTAATTCGATTTAGGAAAGTAGATTCATGACTGTTTTTCAAAGTGTATGAAACAACCTGCAATGAAATATTGCAGAAATTAATGATACTTCTCACTGCAGTCAAACCACGTCTTACACAGAATGTTAGCTGTGAGGAGTTTGAATCCAAAGAACCTAACAATTTTTAGGTGGGTCTTTTATGAATGTGACAGTGGACTATTTTTTTCTGTCTACCTCTTCCTTTCCCTGCCTTCTCTTTCACCGGTCCTTATGCGTATGAATTTTTCTTTCTTTAATTGACATCCTTGTAGGTAAAGTACAGTATTTGGAAGTCAGGCTGTGTTTTCCTCTTGTGACAACAGCTAAAAAGGCAGTATTTGCACCAGACTCTGAGCTTGCAGATGCATCTGCTGTAAAAGGGTTACATGCATTTAGAACAGTTAAAATTTAACAAATAGCTTTGAGAATGATGAGAAGAAATAAAGAGGGGCTTATACTTAAATTATTCAGAAGAACTAGTATTAGTGTAAAAAGCATAAAAACAATCTGTGATGACGTGACTGGCCATACACAGTGAACAATTTACCATGAAGACACTTGTATATGTAGATGTGTACCATAATACAATTTTCAGAATTCATCTTAATAATGTGGTTTGGGTGTTGCTGAATCCTTGTTTTCTGAAATTGTTATTTTTTCCAATACATAGCCAAGCTTGAGGAATTCTAGTAAATAATATCAATTCCTTGCATCTAGCTTTTTGATGGAAGTGTTTCAATAAGTCATTAATGTGTAATTTGTTCAGAGAAATCTCAGCTGGCCTTAGTGACTTGGACTATGGAATTACGTACCTTCATACCTAGGCTGAAGTACTAATCAACATGTAACACATCAAACACCCATCTCCTCCCCCATACTCTTGCATACGATAGGTAGAGCTAGTTAAAACAGAGATTAACAACACAGGAACGCCTTCTGACTCATTTTTTTTGCCCCGAAGTATGAAATATTGTTACCTTTAACCCTGATTAAATGAGCTTGCCTAGCTACAACTGTCAGTGAGAATACCTGCTTCTTTTTTTAAATTATCCACAGTATTTGATCTTGATTTTATTTTTTTCTTTGGTAACAGTATATTCAACAAACTTAGGAACTTCTTTTTTTTTCTGGAGATTGAAAAGTACAAAGGGAGATTCAGTTGATAGACTGGAAGACTAGGAAATGAGCTTGCAAAGGGACGCTTGTTACGACTAAGCTGTGTATTTGCTTTTTATATCTTTATTATAGTATGCACATGGGAATATAGACTTGTGTATTGATTAATTCCTGTCCATGGTCAGTAAGAAGATGAAATTTTTGAATTTTTTTTAGTTTTTAAGGAGAAATGCCCTTAAGGGGGATGTAAGAGAGATTCAGTGCAAATTCATCTAGTTTTATATAAATAAGCAACATTCTATATTATCAAGTTAATTCTTACACATCATTTATCTTTTGTAGAAGAAACTGCTGATTGGGAAAAGGAATTGCAACAAGAGCTTCAAGAGTATGAGGTGGTGACGGAATCAGAAAAGCGTGATGAAAACTGGGATAAAGAAATAGAAGAAATGCTGCAAGAAGAAAATTAAGCATTTTCACAAAATCACTATAACCCTAAGTTTTTTCTGAGGACTGACATGGATTTCTGCTTTCATATTTTGCTTACAAAAGATCTTTAAAAGACTCTAAAATCTTTATAATTCCCTATGGGGATACAGCCAGCATTTCTGTTCTTTATATGAGCAGTTTCTGAACTTCTGCATTCTTCAGAAGAAAAAAAAAAAAAAACAAAACAGACAGACACTGCAGGTTATATGTCATAATTAAAAGTGATAACATTATTACATGAAGCAACAGTCTAGTTTGAGGTATTTGGCATTTTTAGGTGGTCAAGAAGCTCAGCAAAGAGATTTCTAAATCTAAGAATCTCAATTTTTTTGTCTACAACCTTCTGTTTGGCATGTAAAAATGGATGTAGTAAGTAACTTAGTCCTCGAAAATAACTCTCATCACATTTGCACTCTGATGCCTGTATAATCTGTAAATGTGTACTATTTTTAAGGTACTTGTAGCTAGTAGCTTTCTTGTGTATTTAACTTCCTTAATGTATGTAGCCAAAGAATTTATAGAAAACCCTATCAAATAACTTCTGATAATTTGTTAAAAAAACTACTATTTCAGACTCCAGAAGAAGTACTGATTAATTATTGATCAGGTATGATTAACTGGCAAACATTTAAGTATTTAAATAAGAACAGAGTTATTAACTGCTTGAATTGAACTGTTGTTTTTGTTAAATCATCATTTTAAGGTATTGCCTTTCCCTACAGAGAGAAATGGTTTAATGCATTCTTTCTTCAGAAGACTCTTAACAATTCCATTTAATTTTGCTGTCTGACTGAGAGCAAATTAAATGTTTCTCTTTATGTTAAGTGCTGAAACTTTTCTGTAAAAACTTTGCCTGGTTTGGACATCTTTATTAAATACTGTAGATATGTATAAAATTGCCTCATTTCTTTGGAGGGAGGGCAGAGTGGGGGGCAAACATACTTCAGACACAGATTTCAAAAATATACTTTGTCGCAGTGCTTAAGACATGGAATTTAAATAAAAAATAGTTTTCTTTAAAAGATTTTCTGATTCTTCTTAGGCATCTGGATGTTTCCTGTAGTTTTACCATTAAGTCAGTATCTTTCTGTATGTATATGAAAATTTGATGTTCTATTTGTCTATTTCATAAACTTCTGTGACAAAACATTCATGAATTTCCAAATACGAAGGAAAAGGGGTAAAATGAAGTAGGTAGGAGCCATTAAGCACAACTGAATTATAGGCATGTTACACAGAGTAAGCTCTGTCTTAATGACATAATTCTGCAGAAAACTTTTGTAAAGAGACTGAAAACATTATAGCTGTAATTACTGAGTCAATATTCATCCTGTGGCAATTGAAAAGAGCTAAGTAGTTTAAACTACTGTTACTATAAGAAAGGGCTATGTAAAATTGTCTCTATTAGCAGCTTGGACAGAAAGCCCTCCTGTATTTCTCATTATGGAAAATGAATTGTTTTAAACCTGCATACATTTGGCTTCTCAAATTAGTTTCTTTATTACCATACACTGTCTCAACTACAACTCATCTTAAGCACAATTTGTATTCTTACAGTGTTTTTCACTTTTAGTTAACAAATGCAAGGTAAGTCGTGGTAAATAAGAGGTACTTCAGGACATTTTTATATCTGGGATTAATTAAAGGCCACAGAAGTTAGATCTGTTATGCTCCTAAAAATCAGACTACTCAAAGCTTTATGTTTACTCTTGACAAATACAACTGCTCACAGATTTAAGCCGGAGACATTAGGATCTGTCTGCTGTACAGTTTGACACGCCACCTTCTAAAAAGATGGGTAGTTCTATTCTCATAGTGGCAAATCTTCCCTAGATGATGAAGAGCTCAAAATCACTGCTCCAAATATACGCTTTCTTAAAAACCAGCCTGATCATTACTAGTGTTGTCAGATTATATGATGGGCTTATTTGCATGGGGTTTGTACATCAAGTCTCATCTTTCTTTTCATGTAAGCGTAGCCTGTATAATGGTTATAGATACTAACCTCTATGTCTGAAAAAAGATGGCTCCTACATATAAAACCTTAGTTTTCCAAGTCTCATGAAAAGCAAGTATGTCTCAAAAAAAAAAAAAAAACAAAAAACCCCACTATTTAAATTTGCATTTTAAAAGGAAATAATGCAGCAAGGCTGAACCTGACTTGAGCTCTGATATTTAAAGCCTCCTATCAGAAATCATACTAATATTTTCAAATATGCATATCTGGTTTTAACCTAGAAAGCTGAAATAACTTTTGTGTAATCCTGCAGTTTTCAGGACTGGCCTATGTCTTTCAGTTAGGTTAGTGCTACAAGTGCCCAGCAGTTTTTATTGTGGGTGGTAAGAGGGAAGGTGTCTGCATTCCACTTGTCATACAAGATGAACACAGGTAGAGTTCTTGACGTTCATGGTGAATTTTGCAGGCCTTTGTAGTCCAAATCCATCATGATAGTATATTTCATAAGCAAGTATGCTGGTGTTTTCTTAACAACATCATTACAAGCACTAGGATGGTGCAGATGCTAAAGTTCAGCAAAACAACAACAGTTTGAAATCAAGGACAAGGCCAAAGGAAACCAAGATAGATGTAAATACCAACCTGTGGAGACAGCGTAAGAGAAAATGCAGTTGTTTAAAACATTGAGGAAAAGCAAAAAAACCAAAAAGATTGTAGACAAGTTTCCTTAAAAGCAGCTAAATGTGCAGATTTTGGAATTAACCTCTGAGAAACAGGGAAAAGATTACCAGTAATCATTTGGGTTAGCTTAGAACAGTGATACAGCTTTCTTCTGAGATACCAGCATCTCCAGTTGTTCTGTGCACCGAAGCATCCTCTTCAACTACTAGTTTACTAGTCCAGTTGGTATTAGTTAATATGTGTACAGAGTTTTTTGATTCAGTAATTTGTTTGGAGGAGGAGGAAGAGGAAAGATTGTAAAATCCTGGAATAAAAAAAGTGTAATAAAAGGTTCCCCTACATTTTTATTTGACCATTTACAGCTGTTCTCTAAACAAAGTTAAGCAAAGCTTTCAATTTCCTGAATTGTTTCAGTAAACTTTGAATTGCTGTAGTTTGTCACTTCAGTTGGGTCATAAAAGTATTTTTTTTCTCCTTGCTGTTTGGTTATCTTGGTGTTGGTTTGGTGGGGTTATGTATGTAGTACTGAAGTGCAGGATGTCAGTTTTAACCTCATGCACTTAAAGAATAACCCTATGTACAGGAACGTATCACCTGACCATGAGATGCATCCTTGAACTCTTGGCCACTCGCATATTATTGACTTTGATTTTGCAATAGCTATTACATAAAAGGGAGTGAAGTGTGTTTGGTTACTTACCAGTGCACTGCCAAGCAAGAGCAGCTGCGTCGGGCCCTCGGTCCATGGGCTGTATCTAGAGTCTTGTTGCACGATTACAGTGTCGAGAGCTGCAGCAATAATGGTCTGGGGTTTGATTCAGCAGAAGTTTAGAAGATGTATTGTCTGGCCTGATACTATATGTCTCAGTAAATGCCGTCTGATGTATCTACAACAACAACAGTACAGTAGCCTAGCCTTAAGTAATGTTATTCATTAGTAGATTTTTGTTCCAAACTACTAATTTTCAATGCTTTTTTCCTTTGTTTTAAATGTTAGGGGGGTTTGGTTGTTTTGGTTTTTTTTAGATCAGCATTCCAATTTTTTTAAATGAAATGGTAACAGTGAATTAATTTCTTGCTATATTTTCTTTGTATTATATTGAAGTATTTCAGAAAACAACAGTTCCTACAAAAACATCAGAAGACATGCATGCCTTCATTTTCTTCTCAGTACAGCCCAGTACTAGCTCTATATATAGACATATGAAGACCATGCATATATATAAATGCAAACCCACATCTATTAGTGTGTCTAAATATATTCAAAAAATCACAATGTACTTTTCAGCTGTTACTTTTAACTAGATAGGATTGCAAGAGGAGGAGCAACCAAAATAATGATCATTAGTTTGTCACTCTATCATTTTTAATGAGACAGCGCTCTGTAGAAATTATCTTGAAGAATGAATCACTTCGTTTTTTAAAAGCCTGGTTTTCATTACGGGACAAGTAGGGAATGTTTTCCTTTGCTAATTCAGGGATTCAGGAAGCTATGACAAACCTCTCCAGATACACTTAGGAGGAATGCCTAATGCAAAACTATATAGGCAGAAAGGTTATTTTATCTCAGTGTGATCCTGACAAAGTAGGGAAAGACAGAAGAAAAATGCAGTTAGTTAAGGGTTATATATAAAATTAGAAGAATAAGGATTTGATGCCTGCTTTGATATATGATGTGCTAAAGAAAACCATGTTTAGCGTGGGGGGTTTTAACTGTATGCATGCACAAAACCTTAATGCTGGAGTTGCTTTTATTTATTTGTTCTCTTAGCCATGGCTTCCATACTCAAATGTGAAGGTTTCAGAGCCAGATAAAGCTGCTGCTTCTCTGCATTTCCTATCCTTACCAAGGAGAAATGAGCCCAATTTACCTCACAGTCCAATAATGGCCAGAGAATAGATTGATTACACCCAGCTTCTTGTCCCACTTGTTTCAGAAATGTTTTAATGCTGGCCAGGTGCCCTTTCGTGACTTTGACACCTACAATTTAAACATCAAACAGTTTTGCTTTTGCTGTATCATCACCACCTTGCATCCTGTATTGTGTGTGGCAACACTTTCAAGCCCATTGTGCGCCGGGTGGATGAAAAGTGCTGCCATAAGAGCATTAATGGGGTGGAGAGGAGCTGCTGCAGACATGTGGTATGGATGTGGAAACAACAATCTCGGTCGGATGTGGTGTCAAAGAATTAGTGGGCATGTGAATGAAAGAGCTGAAACCACCGCCTAAGAAGGCAAAAATACTGGCACATAGGACGTTTCAGGTGGAGGAAAGTTGTTATCGGACACACTTTGGGTCTCTCTGGCTATGGATATACCAGTCAACTGATGCGTCTGAGCACATGTTGAAAACTGAATGCCTATGAACAGAAAGACCCCTAAAAATGTCTGCCCTGAGCCAGCTAGCAATCTCTCCATCAGCCTCTGGCCACTGAGTTATTCCCAGTGGAGCTGGTGAGCAACCCAGCTTTGGAGGCTGAGGGGTACAGTAGGGAATGGTCTGTGTCCCCCTCGGTCTGGGTGCCAGAGGACAATCACCGGCAGATTTAACTCACAACCGCAAGCGTAGCCTCTGGCCTGGCTGTCCTGCCCTCAGTCCTGGCTGGTGTAACGAAGGACACCAGCAGCAGCATTAGAGTGAGCAGCGCCGGGTTCACTGGATCCCCAGACCGACCGCGGGCCTTGTCACGGTGAGCCAAGGCTCACCTTCAGACCCTACTGGCTGGCATCCGAATTCTCTTTCAAAGTACGTTTGCACAAACCTGTAACTGGCTATCGTTCTTATCCATACAAATGTCCAGTTCCTTTTTTAATCTACTTCATTACTTCATTGGTATTGGGGGGTAATTAATTTCTTAATGTGTTAAGGGGGGAAATCTTTCTATTTGTTTCGAATGTGCAGCTTTGTAATTTAGCTGAATGGTGTGTGACATGGGAAAACAGAAGGGCCTGACTTTGCCTTCTTTTCATCGTGTCCCATGTGTTACGTTCCTGAGACAAGCAAGTAATTTCAGACTTTTCACTCTTGTCATATTTTAATGGGGGCATTTTTCCACCTACCCAGTAGTTTATGATGGCCTTTCTTAAAGCTTATTTACCTTCAGCGTTCATTTTCTAGGAGGAACTTGTGACACGTGCAACAAGCACGCAGGAGAACGCACCACCCAGCTGACACATGCTGGTTTCATTTCCTGCACTACTCCTCATCCCATTCCACATGCACCCTGATGTCGGGGTTTAACCCCAGCCAGCAACTAAGCACCACACGGCCACTCGCTCCCTTCCCCCGCCACCCAGTGGGATGGGGGAAGAGAATCAGAAAAAAAAAAG